CTAACGACTGCGCAAAGTTAGTCGCCGGGTCATCGCCGTGCGGCGCGGATCCATCGATCCCCTGCTTTGTCAGCGTCTGCTCATTTGAAATAGCATGAATTTTATGTCAGAACATTAAAGGATCATTAAAGTGTGATTAAAATGTAAATTTTATCAATAAAGGATACCATATTTTCTGGTTAGGTTTTCTGAGTCTAAAAGGGCATGGATATTCGGCCCATACCAAAGCATGTTGGAAAGGACGCGCCATACGGACAGGCACTAGGCAGTTGGCACTCAACAGTGTCCTTTTATCCAACATTACCGAAAAACGAGGACACATACTTGACGGCTGACGCGACAAGCATAAGCATACGTATTCTACTATACCTTGCGCGTGTTCTAAACAACTTCTTACGTCGATGGTTCGAATCGGGATTTCAAAAACACTTAACAAGCTCGTGATGTTACCAGAGAAAAAATTTGGTCCTGATATGCCGCCTTAAATCCTGTGCTTACTGAGCCTCAATAGCAATAAGTTTCGATATAAATTTTAGATACCATTTATAATGCATGCACAGCAGTGCTTTGCATATATAAAGAAAACGTTAAGTATAATTCTGACCTTTGATTGATGGCCACATATTCATGTCGTATTTGCGTAGTGACACATATCGCGGAAATGCAGGTCCCCACTCTTACTTACCAAACATTGCTCACTGGCGTCCGGTGATAACCCACATAACGCGACATTATCGGCCCAATCTACATGTGGTCAGCGCTTGAGCGGCGCTGTCCCATATGAGGGCGCCGCTGGGAGCCAATCGGCCGGCTATCTGCCGACTTCCCGCTGGTAGCCGCCATCGCGGTCGCCTCCACCCACAGGGTATTATGCAAAATGCCGCCGTACGCCCATGTGCATTGTAATCGGGTCCGACTTTATATTCATTGTGGGCAGACGGTGATCTCGGCGGGCTCCGCGGCGGTTAAAGTGGCCCAGTCCGGTGCGGCGGTTTGGCTGCGGTGGCTGAATCACCACCGACTGTTTGCTGATTTGCTGGATTTTCCTCTCAGTGAGCCCAGGCAAACAGGCAAACACACCCAGTTGAATAATTAACTGGGCTTGCTTGCTTTTCACTCTCGGGCAGAGTAAAGGTTTTGTTGTTGCACTGGCAAAGTAACCTGAGCCGTAGTCGGCCCGGCGCAATCCATCCGAAAGGTGAATTGGTTGGGTAAATCGCAAAATTAGATTTTACACGGATTTTGATAAAGCGGATTTTTTTAATGATCAAGGGCTAGCAACACCATAAATATGTTCATGTGAGTGCAGTTAAATGGCAATAAAACATACCGCAGCAGTTGTAAAAACGACTTTATAGTTCGCTTCTGTCACAATGATGCATATCACGTAACATATACCACATTATACCTATGGAGTAATCCGAGCTAACGTAACCCCAAACTCGATCAACCCCAGCAATCTCGCAGCCATAATCCAGGATTCGCTAACCTTGATAAATCCTCGGGCCGACGGTTTGTATGGTCAGTTTGGCTGTTTGCCAATCGACTGGGAAACATCGAATGGCGCGCTGTCGCTGCCAGCCAACGTTGTAAAAACTTCTGAGCCATCGTATATTACGGTATCTATCGAACCACTCTGTTGGGGGCTGATACTGCCCATAATATTTCCGATCGGCCAATTAACTTCAGGAGAAATGGGGGATAATACGACAGTGGTGTCAGGATAGAACCTGTTCAGTTGCTCGTGTAAACGGAGGAGCTTTGATTATCGCAAGCCATGCTGATCTCAGTTCAGAGTCAGGCAGTTGGCTTCACGGCATGGGTCAGGGACTTAGCTTCACGTGAATTACCAAGGAAGACGTTGTCGTTCGAGAACAGTTAGTCACAGAAGCTTGCAAGACGGATTCGTGCATTGTCATTCATGCTTTTGCACTGTGCAACTGTTCGTCGTGTCATCTAAGATAAGCGAGGCAAGCATGTCGTCATATCGTCAGTAAGGTTTAATCAGTCTGACAAAAAAAAAAAAATCACGTCCACTGCTGACTGTAAGTATGATGCTTAATTTTCAGCCGTTTTATGCCTACATGGTCATGCTGCAGGTAAACTTGTGTGCAGAGTAGTATGCCTAACCGTTAAAAACTACCGTTATACTGACCTTACTACCCGATTATATCAGTAAACCGATACAGATCAAAAATGTGATTTATCAAGCATTACGTTTCGATAGCTATCGTATGCGGTGAATTTCCAGCATGGGGTTCTAGATTCTTTTTGCCACGAGTGCTTCGTTGCCTTAGCGTCATATGCATACTCGCCAACTTTTCGCAGCTATATTTCCATCTAGAGACGCGCCTCAGGCGCAAGCAGCTTGCCTGTCCAGGCTCTCGGTCGTTATTTCAGCCATTAGTCCGCCCCGCGACCGTACTTTGGTGGAAAGTATGATGCATTATGGTGTGGTCTGAATTGCAAGCGGGAAAACACTGTGATATAAAGGTTCACGTCAACGGCTTTAGAGCGTACGCTGGACGTAAAAAGCAGCGATCCTTGAACTATACGGGCTGAATCAGCTAGCCATTGATTTAAAAGCGGAAACACTTCAAAACAGCTGGATGTGTGGGTACCGCGAGTGAATGGAAGTCGCCGGGTATATTTTCTTTCGGGCATTTTTCGTGTGTGGTGTGTTTGTGTGTATAAGGATTTTTGCTCCCGATATTGAGCTATGGTTAGATTCATCAATAACCATCATCCACTGCGGGTATTATGTCTACGTTCGACGGCAAACTCACGCTGTGCCGCAACACACGACTGTCCGGCGGCACAGCATAACTCCCAGGTAGCGCCGAAGCGGTCGGTCGGCGCTCCTTCTTTGTCTGTCACGTGCTATACTCTGAGTTTTTCATAGATGTGCGCGTAGATCTGCCAATCCGTCCGTCCCTTCCATCCGCCCGTCCTTCTTCCGTCCGTACATCCGCTATCTGTCCATCCGTAGTTGATCTGTCCGTATCTTCTACCCGTCCGTCCGTACCTTTCATCCGCTCGTCCATTCGTCCATCTTTATCCATGCATCCATCCATGCAGTTGTTCGTCCGTCCGTCCGCCCACCCGTCGTTCCGTCCGTATATTCATCCTCGGGCCCGTGCGACTACGGTGCGCCGGGCGACGACGGTGGCCCGACCGAGCCCTGCGCGGCCGTATCCGCTGATGGCACGACCGACGACCGATCCAGTATTACCCAGCAGTGTCGCCGACACCGATAACTCGCCGTTCCATTTCGCGAGCGACCGGGGCGCCGGCGGCCGCGCCGCGTCCCGGAGCTATCATCGGACTCAACTGCGGGCGCCGGCAATTGATGGGTGCCGTCGGGGCCGATCTTCTCGGCTGGCGCGCGGTGCGGCCGACGCCGCCGGAATCGATGCGCCGCTCCGTCATGGTTTTGACTCTTGGTCGCCAGCTGACGGGTCAGCGCTCGCCGGAGCGAGGTCAGAGGTCAAGGTCAGACCGGCGCTAGTCTCGGAAGTTCATCGACGTGTTGAAGTTTTTGTTCTGCCACCAATATGCGTGCGTCCTGGCTTGGAGGTGGATCGAAGGTTTTTGTCATCTTTCTGACATCCTGGTGGGTGGCGGAGGCGAGTAGCTCAGGCATGTTACGTTAATTTTAAATGAAGTCCTTCGTTCTACCATCAATACGGGACAAAAACGATCTCAGGGATTTGTACTGCGCTGATATGAGTGGAAGCTGCATGCGGAACGTCTCCGAAGCTACTGAGAAGTTACATTACATTGCCATCTTGCTAGGGGAGTTGTTTTATTCAATTTAAATCATTCCGTAACTTAAGGCCTTTTATTTATGCCAAGCTGTCTGATAACAGCGTCTTCTCGGCGCATCGTTCTCATTCTCCCTCCCCTCCCATTGCCGCGCTGAGCAGATACTATGTAGATCATTGATGGTTGGCTGGCTGCGTTGATTATATTGGAAAATGTTTTATCTGCGCAGTGTCACGTCCATTTTTACAGTCGTGTTCGCATTCCGTTGTGTGATGCCTCAGGAAAACTACCCACGAAGAGACGTCGGGACTGGGAGTCTGTCATAGCCTATCCTAACTTGATAAACATTGTGCCCCATCTTGAAATGGACTCATTCATTTCACAAGATGCCCAAGCCTGACGTTTTCCTGTCGTAGGCTGCGCGATGTCCGGACATTACCCTGACGACGTTCACCGTCAAGAAAGATTTCATCATATTGCATGGTCCTATGCAGAGTTCGAGTGAAATGGAATGATCAGACTGGAAATTCTACTCTTTAGCATGGCTAACCTGCTTATGAGAAGTGGATTTTAAATAGGCATTCATGCTAATTTTTTCAGGATACCTAAAAACCACCAATCTAGGATAAGTGTCGAAAGGAAATGATTTTGCACATATTTCAATGATTTCATATCATTTCCATTCATCTAAAAATGTGTATTCCAGAAGTAGGAAAGCAATATCCCCACTAGTAAAAAAAAAGTTAGTTCTAAAGGTCAAGGTTTGTCCTGGGTGCCGGATGGGAATATTTGTGAAAGGCTCCACGTTTAGCTCAGCAAACATGTGTTGCGGCCAATACCGGGCTCGCACCGTTCTTTCAGCACAGGTTCAGGCCTGCTCAGGTTAACCTTTCCACAAATGGTTGTGACGCATTTAGCGCCTACAGGATATCAAACAACAACTTCGATGAAGGCAATACTTACAAGCAGGATGCAGCGCTATTTCCGCTTTTATGTGTGTGTTTGGTTTACAAACAGCTGGTCCAGCCTTGCATGTCAACATAACCAATGTCACCTCGCGCTATCCCAGGCACACTTTCTGATGTACACAATATAAGGAAGATGAATGACTCAGCTACAAACAGCTGACGTCATGTGCCTCTGCTTAACCCCCGGTGATGTCGCATCTTGCTGCACCACCCCAGATGACCTGCTTTAGCTACCCCAAGTGACGTCATTTATCTCTGTGCCCTCAGATCGTCAACCCTGACGACGACACGGCGTGCATCACCTGCCGGCGTGGCACTCTCCCCGACCCCACGCACATGGAGTGCGTGCCTCTGCCCGAGGAGTACCTGCGCTTCGACTCGTCCTGGGCCATCGGCGCCATGTCGTTCGCCGCCGTGGGCATCATCATCACCTGCCTGGTGATCGGCACGTTCATCCGCTACGTGGACACGCCGGTGGTGCGCGCCTCGGGCCGCGAGCTCAGCTTCGTCCTCCTCTACGGCATCCTGCTCTGCTACTCGATGACTTTTGTACTGGTGCTGAGGCCCAGCGACGTGGTGTGCGGCATCCAGCAGTTCGGCATCGGCTTCTGCTTCAGCGTTGTCTACAGCGCGCTGCTGACCAAGACCAACCGGATAGCGCGCATCTTCAACGCCGGGAAGAAGTCGGCGGCGCGGCCGCACTTCATCACGCCGGCGTCCCAGCTGGTTATCTGCTCGCTGCTCATATTTGTGCAGGTGGGGGACGGCAACCGACCCTGTTGTTTCCCCGAGCCCTTATCTCTGTTACTTTATCCGGGTAACTATTTCTGTCATTTCTGTTGCTCTGTATCCCTCTGTTTCTCCCCCCTCTCTCTCTCTCTCTCCTCTCTCTCTCTCTCTCTCTCTCTCTCTCTCTCTCTCTCTCTCTGTCTCTCTCTCTCTCTGTCTCTCTCTCTCTCTCTCTCTCTCTCTCTCTCTCTCTCTCTCTCTCTCTCTCTCTCTCTCTCTCTCTCTCTCTCTCTCTCTCTCTCTCTCTCTCTCTCTCCTCTCTCTCTCTCTCTCTCTCTCTCTCTCTATCTCTCTCTGCCTCTCTCTCTTCCTTATTTCCCTTATTTCCCTATGATAGGCCGTTTTATTTTCCTTTACGTATAAGTTCAAAGTAGTCGCACATCTTACTTTGTGTGTGAATCATTACTACTCAGTACTCAACTTCTCGGAAGCCGTACTTTTCAAAATGTCATCACTTATTGAATTCACATTGCCCTATCGCTGCAACATGCACATTGCACATGCATAACGGACTGCCCCTCCCCCCCCCCCCACCCTTTCGGTCGCCATCAGCTGGTGGTGTCTTTCGCGTGGATGTGGACCACGCCTCCCGAGGCCATGTTCCACCACCCGACGCCGGAGGACAACCTGCTGGTCTGCAAGGCCTCCATCAACGCCTCCTACATGGTGGGCTTCGCCTACCCGATCCTGCTCATTATCGTCTGCACTGTGTACGCCGTGCTGACGCGCAAGATCCCCGAGGCCTTCAACGAGTCCAAGTACATCGGCTTCACCATGTACACGACATGTGTCATCTGGCTGGCCTTTGTGCCCATCTACTTCTCGACGGCTAACCACGTGGCGCTGCGCATCACCACCATGTGCATCTCCATCAGCCTGAGCGCCACCATCGCCATCACGTGTCTCTTCACGCCCAAGCTGTACATCATCCTGCTGCGTCCCGAGCGGAACGTGCGGCAGTCGATGATGTCGCAGAAGTACAGCCAGTACAGCCAGATCAGGAACAACATCAGCCTGTCGTCGCAGCCGCGCGTCGACTCGGGCACACAGAGTGACGGTGAGTCCCGCCAAGGGCGGGCTGGGGCTGTGTGGAAGGGGGTATTGGGGAGGGTGTCTCTGTGTCTGTTGTGGATGTTTGGGGGACTGTGGGCTGTGTGGAAAGTGTTGTCCTTGGGGTGTGGTTTGCCCTTTGGGCAGTGTTTGAAGTCTGCTTCAATGAGTGGCTGTGGAAGTGAGCCCTGAGGGCTTTGTGTTGTCTGGGTATACAGCGAATAACTGCCCCTGACAGGAAAAGTTAGCGGTCAGCTACAGCGGCCATGTTGCTCAGAACAGCTGGTATTGGTACTCCGATGGATTGACTCAAGGTCTGACCATCGATTACGTAGAGGCACGCTCATTGTTCTATTCTGAATCCTGCTGTTTTGGCCAAATTTCCTAAAGGGATCCGGGAGTCTGCAGAACCTGTGCAACACGATGCATCTGACGTGGGCTCATCATCGGAAGTTATCGCATTCAATTCATGCGGAACTGATTTTATTTGATATGTATATGTTTTGGGATTGTTGAAATGTGTTTTTTATTTGGTTAGTTCATGATTCATCAATGGCGTAACTTTCTTCCGTAGTGGGTAATTTTCACCTGTTTAGTTCAATTGCTATTGTTTTATCAATTGCTCCAATCGGGATTATTGATCTTAATTGGTTAGTTATTGAATTATTCAATTATTTGTTGTTGAAAACGATGTTCTAACTCAGCCGTAAGCAAGTTTAAATTGGTTATTTTTCATTCTTCCAGAGAAAGGAGTTCTTAAAATAGTGTGTCTGAGAACAAGCTGCCGAGCTAATTTCATTCAGGCTTATGTAAGCTCTAGCCTCTATCCTTACGATGCAATCAACAGTGTGACAGAGTGGGCCGACCTTGGTCTGCTTGTTGCTAAGGTTTAGTTCTTTTTTAACACTGCTTCGAACCCAAAACACCGGAAAGCCAACGTGGTGGCTGACAGGCAGAAAATGTACATATTTCACGATGCGGTCAACGCCTTCTCATCAAGCGTGCACTGCACACATGGGACTATCATTTTTGTCTCCTGAATGAATATGTGAATTTTTCATTCGTTGATCTAGTGGTTTCGCACTTTATACCCCATATATTTCCCAAATCGATGGGTCGTTCAATCCCGCCTAGATTCAGTCTCTAACAGAAGGCTGGTCCGGTTTCCAGTCAGCGAGTTTCCGACTCCAATTCGCGAGAGATGAAGCAGTCACCTGAAATTCGGCGCCGGCCCCAATCAGCGCTGACCGTATTATGACAATCAGATTTCTCCGGCACCGAGGGATCGCTGTGAAATTAGCTGTCGCCGCGAAACTGGCTTCATCAGGCCGGCGCTGCGGCCAATGGCCACACTAATGACGTCATTGGGCGGCACTAATGACGTCATTGGTGTGGTGGGCCGGCGCTGATTCGATGATCCGTCACGTGGAGCGACAATCCGCCGGCTGTCGCGGCTCGCACCCGGCTCCGGCTGCACGTGCGCACCAGATGATCAGACGGTTTGTCACGTAGAGCAGATATGGCCGCCGCCAGTCCCAGTCGACCCGCCTAGTGCCCGACACCGAAACTGGTGACGTCATCATGTCGGAACTGCTCACAATTTACGACAGGGAAGGTGAATGAGATGAGAGACCGAGGTGCGAATAGTTCCCTGCGGTTATTTTACATAATATGACTGAAGCCTGAAGGGCGAATATTGAACGCTTTCAGCAGCAGTAAATATACACACTGATTATCTCTTCTGTCCTTTGTTGCATGTTTTTTGAAAATTATTTGATTGAATTAGTATTTACCGACGAAACAAGCGTAATAACAAGCGTAATGTGTGTGCACAACAGCCAGGTCCGTACGTACTCGTACGTTTCGCCTGGGTGAACTTAATCTCGCATTGTGTAAACTGCCTGTCCAAAATTACAGCTGGATTATTAGTGTTGTCCATTCGCTATGCATTTTCGTCTCTCAGTATCCGGATTACGTATACCGTTACATAATACTTCTGGCTCCAGCCTCCAACGTGCCAGTGATTTATTTCAAGCCCTACGACCTAACGTTTTATATCATATGCTTCCAAAATTGCGAAATGTTTGATCGCTTACGCCATTTGCGTTTTAAATGTAAAAAGACAGCCAATAAACTTATAATCTTCAGCTTAAGTCCGATCCTATCCAATCGCCGCATTCCGTGTATCGGTCGAACCGAAATTGTAAGCTATGGGAAGTAACGTCCGTTGTTTTCTGTTCCTTGTCTCGGTCTTTTATAGCGCGACGTTTTTGACCCACTAACTGATTATAATACTGCTACACATTTTCTGCAAAGCATTTTGGCATGACAATTGACATCCTTTCAATGAATCTGATCAATCTGTGATCTGCGACAGAATAAAAAAAGCGTGCGAAATATTTCACTGACTCTAGCGAACGCATCAAACGCTCGTGCCGTTTCTTCGTGCCGAATAAAAACGCCGCTTGATCGTTTTCTGTCAGCGCTCCTCTCATCCGCACGCGGGCCTCGCTCGCAATATAGCGCGGCAATCTAAATGCTTGACGGTCAGTGGAGATTAATGAACGCTGTTAGCTGCGATGTGGGTTGACAGCTAGATATCGGAGCGGCGCACGGCGCGACACGGTCCCATCTGGCTGATGAGACTGCGCCCCGCGCGCCATTAGTCCCATGGCGCTAATTCCGGCTCCTCAGTGCGGAGAGAGTGCCCCATCCCTGTTAGATCGACCGAGATTTCGGGGCTTTAAATGATTTTGTTTTTCTTATTTTTTGGGAATTTAAGTGTGTTTGAGGGGTGAGCTGTTTTTGCTGCTGGTCTGCTGTACGCCTTGTCGATTCGGCTTGTCTTATGAATGGTCAGAAAATAACCGTTACTTTCAGACAAACCGAATTCGCTCACCCTTTTCCACATATGGAAAGCGATCGGAGCAAGCTGCTTCTGTTGTTGTTCCACGCGTTCGGGCAATCGCCTCACATTTGCAGAGGACACATTTACATAAGATTGGCTGGTGTTCTCTGGCGTTCTACACGCACAGTCCGACCCCGCCGTGTTGGTCTGACCTTTCCAGGCTGGCGGCACTCCGAGGCCTGTGGTTCGGTCTTCTGACCGGTGCGTGGCGCACTTTAAACCAGTGCTGAAGTCAGCCTGCAGTGACCACTAAATTATTTACTGAAGAACACCGACCAGTGACCGGCCACTGAATTACATCGACCAGTGACTAACTCAACAAAACAATCAGTGATTACTGAACACTGATCATTACTCACTGAAGATACCGACCAGTGACCACTGACCACTGAAGATACCGGCTGTGGCCGTGGCCATTGACCTAGTAAACACACAAACCAGCAACCGAAGCCGTCGCTACAAGATGACGCGGAAATGCAGCCACGGTCGCGGCCGCGGACTGCGCCGGCGGCGACCGGAGCTCTTAACCTGATTGGCTCAGCGGGCGGAACTGCTGAGCACAGCTCCGCTCTCCCGCTCTCTCCACACCTACACTCTCTCCGCGCTCTGGCGGCCGGACGCGTCTCACCTGACGAAAAAAAGGCCCCTGTGGGACGGTGCTCGTCAAAGGAGTCTGATTATCAACAGCGCCGGCCGCCCGGTTCATTAGACGGCGGAGGATGTGGCCGACGAAAGGCTCAGAGTCTTCAACAACACGCCGAACGGGCCACAAAAAGGGCGTTCGTGCCAGCGTCGGACGGCCTACCCCAGATGAGGCTGATCAAGCGAGCTCGACATTGACCCAGATCCAATCCGGAGAGCCAGGCTAACCCGGTCACGGCTTAGAAGGCGCGCAGGGAGCCACGGAAGATGGGATCGAGATGGGCCAATCAGATGCTTTTGTGGGGGCTTTAAAAGGAACGAAGGAGACGAAAGAAAATGTTTTGGCAAGCTGGTATAAAACGATGTAGATATAGGCGTGATTTCTTTAGTTTGTATAGACATTTGTGATCCACACAATTTATCAGTAAATACCTACGCTGTATAGAAAGGTGACATCTGCAACAAAAATATGGATCTCAGTCACGTTAGCTTCATATGAAGCTGTCGATGACAACAGTCGTTGGCGGAAGAATTCCTCTTAGGTTGTAATCCCTTTGTAACCTTTGTGTTAATCAGTTGTATTCTCTTATTCCCAGCAATGTTCGAATTTATTTAAATGAATGAGTGGATGAAACACTTTTCATGGCACAAAGCTCTCTTTAATTGTGCTTCGCCGCCAGTGAGCCCATAGGATAATGAGCATAAAACAACTGAATGGCCTTATGGTAGAAATCTGAATGTCACAAATGCTCATATGAGGCACAAATAATCCACCGCAAAACAGATGTTCTTTATAATTGTTGCCACGGGAAAATGTGCAGGCATCCCGGACTATTTATTTCGTAATAGTCGACCTTCAGGGAATAATAAATTAGGCGGGCAGATTTCTGGGCAGGATCCAACAAATCATCCGCTCAGGCATCCGGCTATGAATTATTTCCAAAATGGCCATGGAACCGGCCAAAGGGATATTCGCAGAATTGCAGCCTTTGTCCCTGGAGTGTCACCTTTGTGTCACTTTAAACGCTTCTGAAATGAATGTCAAACGTGAATAAAATTGCTAACTTTCAACAAAAATAGGCCGCCATGTTCATATTCCATTAATTCTTCAATAACTTCAGTAATAATTTCAAATACTACGTGCACTTAATCTAAAGGCGTGATTGTTGTATCCCTGGGTATAACGATGAAATGTTTTTTTCATGAACAACGCGTTTCGGAGTTATCGGCTTTTGAGTCCATCATAGTTAGATGTATTGTTATTTTATATTGAATTCAAATGCTATTGCAAAATACAACTGCTGAAATCGTTTAGTTTTTGGCAGTAAAATATTTCATCATTGATTTTTTCGTGTTTTTTTTTACCGTTTCTCATATTTGAAACGAGATGTATCCATTATCTTTTACGCACTGCATAACTGCATACTTTATATTCCTCATGAAAACTTCATTGCGTG